TTACTTGGACGACATCCTGATCCAGTCATCTTCCATCCAGTCCGCCACGGCGGATTTGACAATGGTAGTGGGCCTGCTCCAGGACCATGGGTTCTCGGTAAACTTCCTCAAGAGTCACATGATACCCACAACGAAACTGTTACATCTGGGGGCCATAATAGACACTTTGCAATGCAAGGTGTACTTATCGCAGGAACGCCGGGACAACCTGAAAAACTCTGTCCTCCAGGTACGCAGGGGACGCACGGCGTCCTTGCTCACCCTTTCCAAATTACTGGGTCAAATGATATCGACCATAGCCATTATCCCGTGGTCCAGGCTCCACGCCAGGGAACTACAGCGGTTCCTGTTACCCTTTCAGAGGCAGAACCTCAGTGCCTCCCATCAAAGGGTGCGACTTCCTCCTCAGGTAGTGCGGTCCCTCGGATGGTGGCTGTCACCAGCCGTCCTCAAGGGGTCCCTGTTCAAAGAACCAAACCGGACAATGCTGATGACCGACGCCAGCCTATTTGGCTGGGGTGCGCACCTCCACTCGCAGTGGGCACAGGGTCGGTGGTCCCAGTCGGACCTTCGCCACGACATCAACTGGTTGGAGTTGCAGGCCATCCATTTAGCTCTCCGGCATTTTCACGTTCTGGTAAGGAGGCGACACGTCCTTGTCCTCACGGACAACGTGACTGCCAAGGCCCATGTGAACAGACAAGGGGGCACCCGTTCACGAGCCCTATTGACCGAGTCACTGTTGCTGGGATCCTGGGCAGAACACAACCTGGCTTCCCTCAAGGCCGACCACATTTCGGGGAAGGAGAACACTCGAGCCGACTGGTTGAGCAGGTCCACTATAGACCACTCGGAATGGCGCCTCCATCCGAGGGTGTTCAAGGAGATTTGTCACCGTTTCGGCCGCCCACTAGTGGATCTCTTTGCGTCCCCGGCCAACACACAACTTCACCGGTTCTTCTCCCGGTTCCCCTCTCAGGGGGCGGAACAGATCGATGCGCTTCGGTCCCCTTGGCCCCCAGGTCTCCTTTATGCCTTCCCGCCGCTTCCTCTGATTCCGGCGGTGGTTCGCAAAATCCTCCAGGAGGGTGCGGAGGTGCTTCTAATTGCTCCTTATTGGCCACGGAGACCTTGGTTCGCTGATCTTATGACTCTATCCATCACGAGCCCATGGCGGATTCCCCCGGACAGAGTATCACTCAGTCAGGGGGACATCCTCCATCAGGATCCCCAATGGCTCCAGTTAGCCGTTTGGCGCTTGAACGGTCTTGCTTGTCACGCCAGCTCTGTTCCACAGGGGTGATCAACATAATTCAAGCATCTCGCCGTCCCTCCACTAACCGAATTTACGAGTCCTCATGGCGGAATTTCCAATCCTGGTACTCCAGGAAGCAGTTGTCACTTGCTCAAATCACTATTCCCCATATTTTGGAATATCTTTTGGAGGGCCTGGAGAGGGGGCTAGCTCCGAACACGTTACGCAGGCAGGTAGCTGCTCTATCCACAGTTCTATCATGCGATTCTGTAGAGTCCTTAGGGCGTCATCCTTTGATTAGATCTTTCCTCAAGGGAGCGGCGAACACCAGGCCGCCCACGGTACATAGGTACCCGTCTTGGGACTTGCCGAGGGTGCTTCGGGCCTTGACAAGGCCGCCTTTCGAACCCATGAGATCGTGTGACCTTCAACACCTTGCCCACAAGGTGGCCTTTTTAGTGGCGATCACGTCGGCTCGGCGTATCTCCGAGCTGGCGGCGCTCTCGGTCCGCAAGGACCTGTGTTTTTTCCGTTCAGACAGGGTGGTCCTCCGTCTCGACCCTACCTTCATACCGAAGGTAAATTCAACATTCCATAGGAACCAGGACATTGTACTCCCGGACTTTTGTCCGAACCCTTCGTGTGCCCAGGAGCGACAATGGCATAGCTTGGATGTCCGCAGGGCGCTCAGTTATTACATCTCACGAACAGCGGATCTCCGTAAATCGGAGGCCCTGTTTGTATCTTTCCACCCGTCTTCCAGGGGTCGGAAGGTCTCTTCGTCCACCATAGGCAGGTGGATCAGGAAGTGCATCGCCGGGGCATATCAGGCTGCATCATTGCCGGTTCCAAGAGGGGTCACGGCCCACTCCACCAGGAGTGCTTCTACCTCTGCGGCCTGGGATACTCAGGCGTCCATAGAGGACATCTGCAGAGCGGCCACTTGGTCCTCACCTTCTCCATTTATTCGGAACTATAAAATAGATAAATTTGCATCCGCGGAGGCCTCCTTCGGCAGGAGGGTCCTCCAACAGGTACTCCATCAAAGTGCCACACCGGACCAGTCTATTTCCCACCCTAAGGGACAGTAGGCTTTGGTATGTCCCATGGGTGGATCCTCCATCTCCAGTGCTGGAGAAGGGGCGTTGTCTTACCTGAACGCCTTTTCTCAGCACGGAGATGGAGGATCCACCTTCCCCCCCTATTTCTTTTGTGGCATTGTTAACTAGGATAGTTTAGTTTCTGAGCCAGTACGTCCTATGTCAGTCAATGGCTTCGCTCGCGTCAAGACTGGGAATCTGTGGTCCAGGACGGGCGTGGCAACTTTGGCTGACTTAATCTGATTGGGCAGGAATACAGTCTACTACCCATGGGTGGATCCTCCATCTCCGTGCTGAGAAAAGGCGTTCAGGTAAGACAACGCCCCTTTTACACCCACCCCCCCCAATCCCACCACATTATTTCCAGAAATTCAAAATGACTTCTAACATTGGATTTCCCTTTTCTGGGTGGAGTATAACTCCATTGATTTCAGATTTTCCTGTTATTCCCCTTTGTATTCTTTCTATCTACATGAACTTTGAGAAGTTCAGGATGCCTATTCCTGCCCTAAAATCCCAATATTCTCTCCACACTCTCCCTTTGCAAAGACAGTATTTCTATCTTCTTGACTAGGTTAAGAAATTGCAATGAGGATTACTATAATCATTATGGAAAGAGTATGTTTATTAAACTTCGTTGGGCTGGTAGTTGACTAACTACCAGCCTGCTAGGCAGTTTACCTTCAGGGCAGCTAGGAGTGACAGGCCTCCATATATACTACTACTACTGCATTCGTGTTGGAAGCATCTACCAAAGCACTTCTGGGTTGAAAGGATTAGCTGGTAATATCACTGTTGCCTGAGGGGGCTTCTTTCATGTCCCTGTTATTTTCCCACTGAAGTGGTACCCATTTATCTACTTGCATTTACATGCTTTCGAACTGCTAGGTGGGCAAGAGATGGGACAAATTGACAGGAGCTCATTCTGTCACATGCTCACTCTCAGGTTTTCAACTGCTGAGCTGTTGACCTGTCAATGGTCTTTTGACTCAGTGTCCTAACTACAAGAGTTACCACGGCCCCCATCCATATATTGAAAAGGTACATTCATTTGGATGATAGTACTGGCTATGTTTTGTGATAAATTCATTTAGCAGTTACTTGGAAAGATGCTGAAAAAAAAAATAACACCAAAGTATATTGTCCCAGTTTCTGGGATTTCCATTTCAGGTTTTCTACTTGCTTCATTTGCTCTTTTCCTTTTTGTGGCTTGTGTTTTTGTACTCAAGATGGAAATTTTACATCTTTAATGATGATATTGTCATAAAGTGCTTCCACTTCTTTTCTTATCAGACTTGCAATTAATGTCTAATTGGATTTTGCAAAGCCAATCATTGTAATATCATACACAAGGGACAGTGCTTAATTAAAATGAGCACAGGATTCATTTTATCTAAATTTCAGTTCCTTTTTGCAATTAATTGACTAAATCCAAAATGGTCACTAGCTAATGTTTTGTAAAATTCATATTATGTGCAGTATCTTTTCAACTGTCTGCCTTTGAAAAGTGTTGGATATTTTATAGTCATTATTTGTAGGATATATGTGAAAAAAGTCTTACTGTGTGATCTTTTTTCTTATTCTTGTTAACCCTGAATAGTAGTTTCGTTTCCAAATTATGATCATATAGCATTAACTATGATTAAGACTAGCCATAACCTTGCAACCTTTAATATACCTGATAGGTTTCTCTTCCTGTAGTTTATTTTATTTTATTTATTTGTATGACCACCCACCTCAATAAGTGGCTGTAGGTGGCGAACAAAATTAGAAATAAAATAAAAACAATTACAATAATGCAAATGTTAAAATACATAATAGCCAAGAATGTATGATATACCATAATTACTAATATAACCAAGAAACAAGTCATTTTGGGGGGGCCTAAATTTTCCATTCAGGTCGAGATGGCATGCAGCTCCTTCATTTTGGAAAAAGTAACATTCTTTAAAGATATAGCTACAAATTTAGGATGTTTAAGGTGCTCCTTTTTAGCCATAGTTTAACCAAAGTCACTTAGCCTAGTCCAGGGGTAGGCAACCTTGGTTCTTTTATGACTCGTGGACTTCAACTCCCAGAATTCCTGAGCCAGCCGGCTCAGGAATTCTGGGAGTTGAAGTCCACGAGTCATAAAAGAACCAAGGTTGCCTACTCCTGGACTAGTCTATCATATGATCCAACTCTTAGTAAAAGGAAATTGAAATTATATTGGTCTAATAAATGGCAAAATTAAAAATGCGTTTGTTTTGTTATGTGCTTTGTTTTCACAGAGAGAGCTATTGCAAAACACGAAGTTCGGGAAATAGAGCAGCGCCATACAGTAGATGGCTCTCGATCAGATCTAATCCCAGATGAAGACGATGATGTAGTGATCATTTACAATCGAGTACCTAAAACTGCAAGTACATCTTTCACAAACATTGCATATGATCTTTGTGCGAAGAATAAGTATCATGTTCTTCATATCAACACAACCAAAAACAATCCTGTTATGTCTCTACAAGATCAAGTAAGTTACCATAGTTAAGATATTACATTTTGCATTGCTCATTAATCTTACTTAACGATTTTCTCTATCAATCATAAAAGTATTGTGTGTGAGGTGATGTCTCAGTCCCAGTGGAGAACAACAAAATAATACGTTCTATTAAAATCCCTGACTTAGAATTAGAGTGGAATTTTTCATATCTGATTTATGTTACATTCTAGTTTTATTGAACTTAAATTTGAATAAAGGCAAATGTAGGTATGATATTAGTTAGACCATTATAAGTATTTGCTGTGTGATAAATTAGGGCATTCTCTCACTGTTTAAAACAGAATTAACCTTGTTTTCCTTCTGTATTTTCTACATCAGTTGGTCATTCTTTCCTTTTCATACCAAATATAAATTCTTGCCTTTTTTTAGTGGCTTAAACCTTTATTTCCATTGTTTGTTCATAACTGGGTCATATCTTTTTTTCCATACAAACCTCTTGATGGAATCCACTGATTCATATTCAGATCATTTTCCATCTTCGTTCTTAGTCAGTCTTATTACCCTTCGGCCTTCTTTTTCAAAATTCTAGAAGAATAATTGGCTTAATAATGCTAACCATATGATGTCCCTTTATGTGCTATCAAGGGTAGCAAAAAAGGATTATCTGACTTATGGCTGATCAAGAAGGACTTTATTAAGGCAAGTTATATGTCCACAGAAATATGCTGAATTACTATTTTTTGCCTAAATATGTATTGCACACCTGGGCAATTCCCCAGAAAATCATGTTGGCTCAAATCTCAATATGCATGTTTAATGAAATCATACTGTCAAGGTTCTGACTAACGAAACCAAATAAATCAGAACTCCGAGGCTTGAAGTTTCCTCAAAGCATATCTTTATTGGATACACAATATGAGCACGGTCAAAAGTGAAACCAACTCTGAAATTTCCCTAGAGATTCATTGTAACTAAAAGTAACATTTCCCTCCCCTCTACTTTACTACAAGTAATCCCTGAGGTACGAGCGTTTATTTCACGAGTTTTCACAAAAACAAATTAATTCAGAAAGGGTACTTACATTAGAAATTAAAAACTGTGACCAAAAAGAGGCCTCTGTAGCCATGAGACTTGATTTCAGTCTCTACTGCAGCGGAGGCCATTTTTATCTCTATGACTTGCCTGGGCCATTTGGGGCTGCGAGAAGCTGGAAGGTTTTTTTTATTTTTGTCCCTGGTCACATGGCCAAACAAGAGCCGAGCCGATACCAGTTTTTGCTTTCGTTGCAATCTGCTACTGCCTGGGCTGGAGTGCTACAATTACTTCTGTAGGTATTTAAAAAAAAATTTTTTTGTTACTCTATAGTTTGCAAACACAATAGTTTGCAAAATATTGAGCTTTTATTTTGGAAATTAGCATATATTACTGTAGTTTGTAGATTTTAAATTTAAATTGCCTCCAGAAGTTGTGGGTGCCCCATCACTGGAAGCTTTTAAGAAGAGACTGGATAGGCATTTATCAGAAATACTCTCTTGTGAGAGCAGTGGGTTAGACTAGCTGATCTCAAGGTCCCTTCCATCTCTGGTACTATTGCAAGCCGAGAGTTCTGCAAATCCCTCCCCCAGCTTGTTCTGGGTGCCTGGCTGGCTCTTAAGCTAGTGGTTTTTATTAAAGCAACGCCTGCTGCCGCTCCCCTTCCCCTCCCCCCCGGGCAGCTGAAGATGCTTGAGCTAACTAGCAGCAGTTGTTTTTTTTTTTAAAAAAAAATAAAAATAACTCTGATGGCTTGCAAGCCCTGCTTGGAGGAAATTTAGTTATTGAGCCAGCTCACCGGAAACATCTGATCAGCGGCTGGTGGTAAACCCTCCCAGTTCAGTTAACATGGCAGCTATCGGAGGAAATAGTCAGATCTTCGTTCATTTAACAATCCATTTGATTTAATCGATAAATTGGATTTTAAAAATTTGTAAAATTAAGTCTGATTCATTTGAAGAGTTTTTTTGACTTACGAGCCTAATGGCCAGGTTCATACCTCGGGGACTACCTGTATAGATCATGCTATCCAATGAAAATAATTGGCGGGCTCCTCAATTCATCTTCCCTCCTCCTTCCAGCACCTGCGGGAATGACCTTGGTTCCCATGGGACTGCTCTTGTGTTTTGTCTAGCAATACTTTTGTTTTCTTATCTCCCTTCCCCCCAATCTGTGTGGCAATTTAGAACAACAAAGATGGCTTCAGCCAGGCTCTTTTCAGAAGTTGACACAGACATCATTAAAGTAAAATGTTGCACTTATTTTTTTATCATATTTGTCAGCAATTTTGAAATTCATAACCTATTTTATTACATTTTTCTGAGCATGTGATTCTTATTCTTTGTACCTCAGAGAATTTTTGAAGCTCCCAATTTTCACTTTTTCCCCTGTAGGATTTCTGATGCTTTTTCTCTGTCAAGATATATTTATTCTATCTTTCACGTCTAAAAAGTGCATCTGGGTTGAAAATGTAAAACAGTTTGAATATGCCAGAAATTCAAAAATAGCTTTTGAATACTTTCTTTTTAAGTATCAGGAAAAAAATGTTTTGCAGAAATCCTTTTATATTTTCTGACCTTCCTAAGTAAAATTTTAGAAAAAAGTCTCCCGTTCAAGCACTCCTCCAAAATAAAATCTCAAACATGTGTATGTGTGTGTGTAATAGCTTTTGTAACAATATGAAAGAGAAGTAGTAGTGAAAATACTTGCAGAGTTGCATATGATCCTGAATAATTGATAACAAATGAATGTTCTCTGTTCATGAAAGGCTTTGGCATCAAATATAGTGATACCAACATACATTAATTGTTACTTCAGTTACTTACTACTGCAAGATAGTAGGCAAAAATACTAGCATAAAAAAAGGCCTACGGGTAAGGTCTTTTGTATTTATGTGCCATTATGATAGTAGATTTTCCCTAGAAAAGGTATCAATAATGTTGAATGGGCAGTTTAATATTTGCTCCAGTTTACTTTTCTGGGATTTTTTATTCAACATGCAGGTGCTGGATGAGGTGGAGATTTGAATGACAGAATACCACAGTCTTTTTTTTAAAAAATCACACATTAGTATTCACGGTCTTTGTACTTAAACTGCCTGGATTCACTTGGGAACTGATGCTGCATGAGCCGGTTGAAACTGAAGTAATAACAATTGGCAGGATCTGTGACCTGTTGGACCTTGAGATTTGATTATTGGAATAGTATTTTTCATATTTATCTAGCTTGTCAGATTGGAATGTTTAGAGTATCATCATTATGTCTAGATCGTATAGGTCAGTTGTAGGATAGAAGAACTATTGTAGCCCAAATAGTTCATTTCATATTTACGACCTTCAAAAGTCTACCATCCTAAAAATATATAAGCAGTTGTAGTTAAATTTAAGAGACGCGGGACAGTATTTTATTTTATTTTTAAAATATATATATACTGATGCACCACACTGACTGTTCACTCAAACACTGGGAATGAACATCCATTATATGTCTTTGCAATAAGTTAGAAGAGTATCCTTTAGAGCTGGATCCATGGCAACTGTATTCCTAACAACTTCATTCACTTTTGATAGCAACATTAAAATATATATTTAACTTGTATAAGTAAACTTTGAAATATTTGCAGCAGCCCATGGAATGAAAAATTCTGTTTAGGCTTTTTAAATTATTTTTATTTTATTTTTGTAGCAGATTATGATGGCGACAGATAGTCCTCGACTTATGACAGTAATGGAGCCTGCCCATTCTTGTTGGACTACATTAAATGAAGTGCATAATTAATGATCTCCCCATTCCTGCTTTTCCCAATGCATTCTTAAAACAAATGCAGAGGTCATTAGAGCATGGGGTGACTTGGGGGTGGGGGAAACCAGTGCAGGCACATGCGCACCGGGTAAACCTCCCCCAACCTCTGCGATATCCCATGTTCTGCCTCCTGCTCCTTGAGTTCCCCAAAGACCTATGGGCCTCCTCCATACCCCACCCCGTCACAATCACACACTTCCTTTTGAAGATATCCAGAGCTCAGGAAATTGGAGTAGAGAAGGCTGCTCCCTTGCTGGATGATTGCTGGGCCACATAGCACAATTGAGAAAAAAAATCCTGCTGGTTTTGCTTCCCTCACAATCCTTTCCTGCCCAGTGCCAGCCACTTTAGCTTTACACTAGCCTGGCTGGCGTTCGGGGAGTTAAGTAATTGTGCCGATTTTGGTCTGTTGCAATCCTTTCTTCCTCAGCCAGTGTAAATCGGCACGATTTCTTTCTTCTTCTTCTTGTGCCATATCCGTTATTGGACGTTGGCGATCATGTTGGCAATCCTGTTTTTATCAGCAGCCGCATGAAAAAGTGCTGTTGAGTTTTGTCCAAACCAGTCCCTTAGATTTTGAAGCTATGATCTTCTTCTTCTGCCTGGACCTCGTTTGCCTTCAATCTTTCCCTGGAGGATTAAATGGAGTATGCCGTATTTTTCTGGGTGTCGTATCACATATCCAAAATATTCTAACTTTCGTTTTTTAATTGTTTTGATGATTTCCCTTGGCTTTCCCAGGCGGCTTATCACCTCATTTCTGATCTTGTCAATCCAGTTTATACGTAACAACCGCCTGTAAATCCACATTTCAAATGCTTCTAGTCTCTTCAGGTGGCCTTCTGTCAGAGACCAACTCTCTACTCCATAGAGCAGGATAGAAAAAATATAACATCTGACAAGCCTGATTTTCTTTAGCTCCTCGAATGCTGGCATAAGGCCTTACACTAGTATGGCTGGTATTCGGGGAGCTACCGGTAAGAAGAAATTGTGCCAATTTTGGTCTGTTGCAATCCTTTCGTCCCCAGCCAGCATAAATCAGCATGGCTTCTTATCCTCCCAAATGCCAGTGTAGGGCTAGAGTTACACTGGCCGAGGAGGAAAGGATTGTAATGGACCAAAATCAGCACAATTTATTTTTTAGTTCTCCAAACGCCAGCCATTCTAGCGTAAGGCCTTATGCTGGCATTCGGGGAGCTAAGGACAGCAGTCGGCATGAATTCTTCTTAATGCCCCGAACCCCAGCCATGCTAGTGTAAAGTTAATGCAGCTGGCTCTGGGGACGAAAGGATTGTGAGGGAAGCAAAAGCAGCAGGATTTCTTCTCAATTGTGCCCATGTGGTCCATCAATGGCCGAGAAAGGGAGCAGCCTTCTCTACCTGACTTCCTGAGCTCTGGATATCTTCGAAAGATAAGTGAGCGAATGGTGACAGGGGTGGGTGGGTAGGAGTGAGTGGAACCCAGTATGGTGGGAAAGCAGGCCCAATGCCTCTGAGGGCCTGACAGGGCAGGATGAGAGAGTGATAGGTAGGACGGTATGCTGCAGTGTCTCTGTGGTCGGTCGTAAGGATGAATGACCACGGGGGTGCTGCAGGGGTTGTTAAGGTTGAAAGGATTTGTATTTAGATTTTGGGGGGGGGGAGTTTGTAACTTCCAGTGTTCATTAAATGGCCTGTTCTACCTTAGTTATCTATATTTTGTAAGACACATTGATGTTATATGAGAGTTTGCGATACATTGTAAAGAATAATTAAATAAAATTTGGTTTCTGTATCATATATTTCTGTTCCATTTGACATAGCATAGAGAACTAGCTATTGTTGCTATACCAAAACAGAATTAAACTTTCACCCCCACCCGTTCTCTCTCCCTCTCATTGTGCTTGGTATTGCTTTTATCTCTAGGTTTTTATGATTATTTTTTGGGGGGGCTACTTTCTCAAACATTGCAATTCTGCTGAGCAAGTTGGTAGCTGATTTTTTTGTTAATAATGCTGGGAGTTGGCACTTGAATTTACTATTGGAAGTCAATAAACATTCTACAGTTGAAATAGTCCCCATTTTATATTGACTTGACAATCGTGTCTGTGTTCATTGGCTAAAGCAATCTCCTTCTCCAAAGGTCAAGATGCAGCTTACTTCAGATGTTTGGTATTCTCTTGGCAATAGCTAAAGTCATTTTGCCAGACATCTCTCAGAAATTCCAGCAGCCATGAACACTGTGTTAGGAATGTTGTTCTACAAATAGCATTACATATTATCTTGATAAATTATGAGAATAACGGCAGATATGTCTGCTTTATCTTATCTGTTTTCCATTACAGTTTCAACTTCTGAAAGTACAAGATTAGATTATTACAGATACTGTTTTTCATGTTGATCAATTTTTGTCCAAGTTTGTTGCTTTCCGGATTATGTATTTATATGCAAACTCATGTAGCTTCTTCAAAAATACTAATACTGGGTGTCTGTACAGATAATAGGAACAGTCTTGAGCAGTCATATAAGCTGTCCTAAGGATCTAGCTGCTTTAATGCTTTGAAGACGGATCCTTTGTTTACACTAGCAAACTTTTTAAAGCACCACTTTCAAATACTTGCAATAATACAAATGTATTGTAATTTCCAACTCAAAACTCCAGGTCTGTGGACTAGAATGAGACGTTGAAGAACATTTCTGTGATATTGCTAAGAAAATTAATTGAAATATTGCTGAAGTTGCCAGGAGTTGAGCCTGGCTTGGAGCTTTTACTCTTATCTGTATTTACCGGTGTGTCATTGTGTCAGTGTAAAATTCGTATATTCTAATTATGAAAGATAGGAACTAAATATAACACTTCAAATAATAAATACATATTTGACTAATAATTAAAGCAAAAGTTGTTCAAAGTGTTATTATAGAATATGAAATATAACACATTCCTGATTAAAAAAACTTAGCCATGTTTAGCAAATCCCAATCTTTTCAGCTATCTGTCCATAATAAATATTGATGATGCTGGCTCATCATCATTGAATTTCTGGAGGATATAAAGTAGAATAAATTATATAATACATACATACATACATACATACACACACACTTTTGTATTTTGTTTTGTAAAATATTAAACAATCTTCCTTTTTCTTGTAGGTACGTTTTGTGAAGAACATAACTTCATGGAAAGAGATGAAACCAGGATTTTATCATGGACATATATCTTTCTTGGATTTTGCAAAGTAAGCTACACAACAAATAATTCAATTTGCACCAATTTGACCTTGAATCATTCTTTATCATTTTTAATTTTCATGGTATAACTGTAGTTCATGATTCACTTTAGTTTGTACTGCCCTCTCATGGTCAAGATCAGAAATTGCACCATACAGCAAATACCGTACAGGGTTTTGGTCTCTCCTTTCAGTTTTATTTTTCTCTGCCTCCACCTCCTCTTTCATTTTCTTAACATGTCCTTCCCTGTTCAGACTTGGTGACAAGAATGTTGTAAATCATGTTGCCTCTTAAAAGAGCAAGTGATACACATTGATATATCTGAATAGTCAGAGAAATTAAATCAGAGAAATTATTTTTCCTGATAGTTAAATCTTGAATGTTTGTGTATATGTATGTGTGTATGTGTGTAAACGTATATGTATGTGTGTATGTGTGTGCACGTGCGGGCGTGCACATGTATATATCCCTGTCATAAAGACAAGAACAAATGATTTTAATAACTTATTTTCTCTAACATTTCAACAGAGGATCTCTCGTCCCCTATCTCAAGACAATAACCAAGTTATAAAGCCTCATCATTCAGTCCTAATCAGTAAAACTCCATTAAAATTTATCAGAAATAAGAAGGTATATAGGTATATATTTAACCATATCGTATTCTATATCTTCCTATATGTTTTAATAGGATTCTAAACACAAGAAGGATTCTTATAATTAATTTCAAAATCTTATTTTCAATCCATCTGGCCCCTTAGCAACTTTCTAAAGTCAATGTTCTAATTATTTCAACACAATTTGTTCAAAGTTGTTAAATTTCTTTCCCTGTGGATTGAAGGAGAAACACCAGGTTTGATGAAACTTGCCATTCTGAAAGTTCTTGATAGCCCAAAAGCAGTTAATAAACAATTTCCAGAAATGATTTAAGAAAGGAAGTGGATGAACCCAGTGTCCATTTAAATGCTTTCAACCATGGCTTGGGCAAAGCTGAGTTTGCTTCGGCTTCAGGAGCTCTAAAACCCCCTAGAGCAGTGTTTCTCAACCTTGACAATTTTAAGGCACGTGGACTTCAACTCCCAGAATTCCACAGCCAGCATTGCTGGCTGTGGAATTCTGGGAGTTGAAGTCCACGTGCCTTAAAATTGTCAAGGTTAGAAACACTGCCCTAGAGGCCATTGTTTTACAGTTTCCTTACAAGGAGCCTCAGTACAGAGCACATAAGGGAGATCCCAGGTCCTCCCCTTTATCTGGAGAGGAATTTCGAAGCACTAATTTGTTTGCCAATTCCTTGCTCCATTGCAATCATGGTGGTATTAAACTATTAAGAGCATCACATCCTCAAATGTTAGGACTGAATGTCTATTCTTCTCAAAGGATTTCTGAGTGGAAGTTGATGTTGTGAAAAATCTCAGGTACTCCAGGCTAGTGGCTAAAATTATTTTATAGAAATGTAATTGTTAGTTTTAGCATTAAATGTGATTAAAGCAGCATAGAGCATTGGGCCAGAAACTCCACACCTTAGGGTGGGTGCATGCTTTGCAATACATATAGAAAAAAGGGTATGGCTTGCCTTGCAACTTGCATCATTTTGGGACTCTCCTGATCCCTCCACAGATGCTTATCTTTGTGGATCCTGCAGTTCTGTAGTCTGACAATGTCTGAGACAGAGACCAGTGCATGGAATTTCTGTTTGAACATTTATTTTAAGAATAGTGGGAATATAGGTTGAATATGATATGTTTTTCATATTTTCTTTAGATCCTTCTGCTTATAGCAATAGCAATAGCATATACTGCTCCATAGTGCTTTACAGCACTCTCTGAGTGGTTTACAAATGTCAGTGGTTAACAAACTGAGTCCTCATTTTACCCAACTTGGAAGGATGGAAGACTGAGTCAACCTTGGGCCAATCAGAATCGAGCTCCTAGCTGTGGGCAGAATTAGCCTGCAAATAGGGCATTCGAACCACTGCACCATCACAGCTCCTATATGTTGTAGTCATTGTTTAATTCTCAATTTTTCTTAACCTTGAAAGCATGGTAGCTTTTAAAGCAAATTAAGAAAGAGTAGTGTGTGTGTGTGTGTGTGTGTGTGTGTATCCCCTGCCCTCTGTTTTATTTTGGTAATTGTGTAAAAATGGCAACCTCAAACAAGTTTGTATTATATATACTCATGAAACATAGTATCACATAATGCTGCAATGAACAATGGCAGAGAAAGTTTGAAATATTACATACCAAGAAGGAGGTCTCAGTCTGAAAGAAAAAAACCCTGAGTATAAAATTGCCTTGTTTTTTCAAATTCAGTAGTGTAACATACTGTATTAATGCATCTCTTGTGTTGAATATATAAGGAAATAATAACCTTGTGAACAGCTTTGTAAGCATTTCTTTACTCGATAGATTATTCATAGTTTGAAACTGAAGACCTCTTATTCAAGAAAGATAACAAAACAATATCACAATTTACATTTATAGGCGTATTTTCCCCAGGACTGTTTTATACTTAAGGTTTTGTGTTTTTTTTTGTTAAATGGCTGTGCCTACCCTCTGTATAGTTTGTTTGCTTATGTTTGTGATTTTGATTTTTAAAATAATGCAGTATTTGCTCTTCTTGAGTAACATATGGTGTGATGTTCTTTGAGGGGAGAAATATATACTCTCCGAATACTGTCTATTTATCTTCCTGAATAAACTCTCCTCTAGTGCTTTGATTCAATATGCACTCATACAAAATTAAAATGAAGTTTAAAAGTTTTGCAACAGCTGTGGTAAAATATATTGTAGAAATTTTATCAAACAGCATAATGAATTAATATATACAATATATTGTTGCTTTCATGTTCTTTGAAATCTAACTATTCAGCGTTAACTTACTGACAGGATTCTCTTCATTTTTGAATTTTATCATGATTGATTTCTAAGAGACCTTGATATCTTTGGGGTCTCTTTCATAACAATATTGATTCATCTCTCCCGTCTACCAAAGAAAGCCAAACCTCTTCTATTCTGTGTTGGCTGTATACATTCATAGATGACATAAGAAACATACGTTAGACCAGGGGTAGTCAACTTTGGCTCTTTTATGACTCGTGGACTTCAACTCCCAGAATTCCTGAGCCAGCTTAGGTGGCTCAGGAATTCTGGGAGTTGAAGTCCACGAGTCATAAAAGAGCCAAGGTTGACTACCCCTGCGTTAGACTGTTCCTCCCCTAAGAGGACATAAAGTATAGGAGGGATAATTGTAGCAGTAAGTTTTCCTTCTGCTCCTCTTTCTTGAGCATTGCCTTCCCACATACAGAGCTGAGCTGGCACTTCTGCTTGAGTCAAGGAATGAGAAACACGAATTGAGAAACATGCGCAGCAGAGACCTTGATTCCTCTCTTTTACCTTCGCCGCAAAAGAAAGTTTAATCTTAGAATATAGTTTTTGCATTTATACCATGCGACATATTGTAGTGTGAATAAAATGATAAATATAGCAAAATGTCAAAATGAAAGCACTTAATACATACAACAGAATCAAGAGTAGCAGCAAAAGAGGCCTTAACTGGATTGCCTGCTCTTGGCACTTTGGGACCTGCACAGTTCTGTGGCCAGTGTTAAGCTTACTGCAAAACATTTAAAACTCTCCCCACCTCTTGTGGGAAATGCTGAAATCTATTAGAAACGTCCAAAATATAAGCTAGTTTTGAGTAAGGTTTCACAGAACAGCTTGTAAAGGTCAAAAAATCCCAACTTGCTGCTTAGTATATCCAACTGAATATACTTAAATAGATAATAATCTTCCACTTTAGCACAAATCTATCCTAATTTCTGGAGCAATGGAAGACAGTTTTTGCCCTTTCTTCTTGCAACCATTTTTCCCAGTGGGGCCGGAAGAGGGCCCAGGCCTTCTCCCAGCTTCACCACACCTGGGCCCTCTGTCCGGTGCTCTGCTTAACGACTGTACAGTCACTTAACAACTGAAACGGGAAGAGCCAGGATTGAGCAAAGCAGTCATTTTTCTCGTTTAACAACCACTTCACTCAACTACCAAGATTCTGGGTTCAACTAAAGTTGTAAGCGGAAGACTACCTGTATGCACAACATGATGAAAAGCTTTATTTTGTACTAAATTTTCATAGGCAAGCCACTTTGCTGTGGTGGTTAAGGCATCAGTGTAGGAACCGGGAAACTATGAGCTCTAATCCTGTCTTGGGCACAAATACAGCTGTGTCACCTTGGACCAGACACTTACTCTCTCTGCCCTAGGAGGGAGGCAGTGGTAAACTACTTCCAACATGTTGCCAAAAAATTGCAGTGGCTTATCCAGGCAGTCTATAGGAATCAAAGGCACAGAGATACAGACATTTTCACAAGACCATTGTATAAATTCTTTAAAAGAAGGCGCTAATGAAAGAACAAAACTATGGCACTCAGTCCAATCCTATCGGGTTTCTCATCTGTTGAATATAGCTAATTGTCATTTTTCCAGCTTCCAGTATTCATCAAGCTTAATTATCATCTCTGCAACAAGCCTTTAAAAGGCAGGACTTTATCAAATTTATTTAACATTTATTTAAAAGGCAGGACTTTATCAAAGCAAAAAACTATTTCTGAGCACCTCCCTCATCCTCATACCTTTCCTCCATCTGGTCATTATAGTAACACCAGCTGCATTATCTTCTTTGTTGCAAAGTATAGTTTTAAAAGGTTGCATCTGTTGGAAGCAGAAGTACCAGACTAGACTTCTGCTGATAATACTTGTTAGACAAAATAAAGCGAGTATCTATATGTAAATATCAAATATGCATGTTTAAAATCCACCAAAATGGAATGTATTATGATAAGGTCTGGTGACCTTCCTTTGAAAACTATCTTGACTGTGAACTTTTTTTAAAAGGCCCTTGAAATGGAAAACGTATTGTCTGCTTATTGTTTTTTCCTGAACACATTAATATGGGGGGAGAGGAGCACTCTTTTGAAATAAACTTGACACCGGATCCATTTTTACATCATGCAGGAAACGCTTTGATTTGTCAATTAGATTATCTTTTCTGTTTCAGATTTGGTGTTAAAAAGAAACCAATATACATCAATGTCATAAGAGATCCTATAGAACGGCTGGTTTCTTATTATTACTTCCTGCGCTTTGGTGATGATTACAGGCCTGGACTCCGAAGGCGAAAGCAAGGGGATAAAAAAGTAAAAGTATACCTTGTTCACTTTCTTTGTGGCTTAGTTTTAACTATGTAATTTATGAACTAAATGAAAAACATAATGTTCAAAACCAAAACTGGAGCAAAAGTTCTCATTCCCTTCACAAGAGTTTTCTGTACATTTTTTTGATCTTTTAAAACATCTGTTCATGAGAGCAGGAATGAGCTTTTTTTTTTTTAAACACTCCTCCATATATTTCTTTTGTTATTTCCCCCATAATTCTTTATTGAAGATCTTAAGCTGGTTGGCTCATGTTAGAAGTTTCTGCTGTAAATTGTGAACTTACTTGCTTATCTAGCTCTTTCCTGGATTTCTTAGCTTTCGCTTTTGACAAGTAAATAAATATGTATAGACTAACTGAAGGTATCTTTCTCTAGTATCTATAGCATAAGAGGTTTCATCAAAATGATGGAAGTAGTGTCATGGTGGCACAATACAAACCTTGTCCCTTTTATACGTGTGAACACTATAATGATACAAAAGAGAAGGAGCTTACACAGTGCAACACTACTTTTGTAATTGGCCCTCCCCCAAGGACACTTCTGATACCTTCTCCTCTCTTAGCAAATATCTGGATGCTTCATACCATGAACAGAGTGCAGTCTATTAAGAAGTGTGTAAATATCCTTAATTGTTCGGCCTAAATCTGGCGGGATAATATTACAAGTTAATAATGAATCATAAAACTTTTGCCCTGTATTGCAAAGTCATGGATCGGAATTTTTCAAACTGCAAGTAATATAGTCATCTCTTCCCAGTATAATATTTCATACTTTGGGGTTGAATATTATGAGACATTATCACTATAGTCTCAGAATAGAATTAGATGCAGAAGAGAAATTAGTCCTGCCCTGCTTTTGTGCAGTCCCAATGAGTTGAGCCTTCTTTGTCTATTTTTCATAACTATTGTATGTGGAGCAATGTATATAGAGTATGTGTATACTTTTAATACTCCTGCTGTTTACATATACACATCATGGATCATGTAAATCCATAGGCACCCTCAGCTGGGTCTTCATTTTATGTTATGGGAACGCTAAAGCAATCCATGGATCCATTTCAGCCAGACCACATGGGTCTTCCTTTTGCTTTGGTGCCATGTTAACTGTATCCAGGAGATACCTTTCCCTTTAAGCAGATTCAGTCTATTTATGAGATTGTTTATTATAGCATTACTTGGAAAATTCAGTCCAGAGACCCTACTCTTGCTATAATGCCTAAAGAGTTTCTTAGCAAGAAGGAAGTTGGTTGTGATCCAGTTGATCAGTCAGCTGTAACTAATGCTGTCTTAAAATCTATTCAGACCTCACATTTCTTGCTGATGTACACTTACTTGGTGGTTATCATATCACACCCTCTGTGCTCTTGGATTTTGCATTGGTTATAAGCAAGAATTGTTCTGCAACATTTGTTTGGATTCTGCTCCAGTAGCATTAAAAAGTATTAAGTAATTAACCTTCAGGAGGATTCAGAATTATCAAAATTAGCCCAGTTTACTGTAGCAACAGCAGCAGCAGCAATAGTATAACTTGATTGCCAAGAGGCAATCTTTTTAATCAATAAATATAATACCTTCAAATTAGTTCCTGCTAATATAAAATAAACTATTTTTAAAATATCAACACATTTTGTCTATATTCCCATGAGCCATTTTAATTTCCATTTTTAGTTAACTTCTGTTGTGATCTCTGCAAATGACATTTGCTTCTCAAATGTCTGTATCATTGATTGGTTATCTGCAATTGGAGCCCAAAAGAGATTGACTTGCAAGCATAGTTGATATAGGCCAGGGATAGGCAACCTTGGCTCTTTTATGACTCATGGACTTCAACTCCCAGCTGGCTCAGGAATTCTAGGAATTGAAGTCCATAAAAGAGGCAAGGTTGCCTACCCCTGATATAGGCAGATACAGTTGTAGAAATGGGACTTTTTGCTATTGTTCTTATATCCATTATTTAACAATATGACCATATTGAAAAGTTTCAATTTCAAGAAGGAGGTTTATAGCTTACTTCTGAGTTTCTTTGTTTTTTTTCCCCCCAGACCTTTGACGAATGTGTGGCAGCTGGAGGCTCAGATTGTGCTCCTGAGAAACTCTGGCTTCAGATACCATTTTTTTGTGGGCATAGCTCTGAGTGTTGGTAAGAATATGATATTACAGAAGAAATTTATCCTTGATTGTGTTATATTGATTGAACTAATGAAAATGGGTACCAGAAATTTAAATTCGGGCTGATGGTGGTGGTGAGGATGGTGAGCTTTAATTAACAAAAGTAGCTTCTCTTACAATGAGCAGAGTTTTAGTGAATTATAAACCATTTTCAAACTCAACTGCCCCTTTCCTTTCTAAACTTCCATATCAATGATTGGCTATCCCGATTAAAAACTGTTTAAGAAGACTTATGGTTTTGCGTCGCAACGAGACAGGACGCAGGAAGGCAGAGCTTCATCGTCAGAAAGAGGCGATGAAGAAGGAGAGGTGGCTTGTTGATCACAGAGAGACGGCGGTCTCTCCGTTCGATCCAAGGAAAGCTCTCTAAACTGGCAGGGGAAAGACCGGCCACACCTCTGTGGGCAGTCATTTGTTGCTGACAACAGAAGAACAAAGCTTTAATTAGCACATCGTAAACAGCATGCTTAGACTGGGTGAGAATATTGATCCTTTATTTACTATTTTACAACTGAATTTCCTGGGAAAGGCTCCCAAGAAGTTTAAAACCTCCAGATGTGAACGGAAGTGGTATTTTAAATTTGTTATGGGGGACAGAAATACACAATACTGAAGTGAAAGTAATACAAAGCTACAGCTTTGATAAATCTGAGAACTGAGATAATTGTTAAGATTTTCTCTTTGGGGGAAAAATTATTGAGGTGAAATGTAAGAAATCAACCCTTTGTTTTAAAAGTGGAAAATGGACTTTGAATGACATCTAGTGGTGGCTTTGAGTACAGCACCATAACTAGCTCCTTGGCTGCTTGGTACAGCTGGCAATAAAGGAAAAGATTTTGGCATATTTATCATCCTGACCTTCTTGGACTATAAATACCTCCTAAGCTCGATCTTTTAATCTCAAGAGCTAGTGGGAGAGAAAGAAAGATTTGACTTTTGAACGTGTCTGGCTGCAGAGAGGTTGAACATTTTGAACACTTGGAACATTGTGGACTACAACCTTGCCTGATTGATAATTTTCAGGATACTTGAGATAAAGGATTACTATAAAATATTGCCATTAGGATTGGATTATAAAGGCTATATATAAAGACCATAAAACTAGAGGAAATCTTATTCCACTCTTAATGAGACTGGTGATACCAGAGGATTTCTAAGAATGATGCCTCAAGAAAAAACAAATACCTTTAAGAAGGAAATTCTCCCTATGTTACAGCAAATTCATCAAACATTTGTTGCACAAAAAGAGGACATAAAAAAACTATAATGAGACTAAAAATAACCTAGATGATATAAAGGACCAAATCTCCAAATTGAAGCTATAACTGAAAAGCTCTAGGACAACGACTGTAAAGCATGAACAAATAAAGCAGAAATCAGAGGATGAAGTAGAAGAAATGGATCTAGAGATGGAGGAGATAGGAGAAGGAAAATATAGACTGCCATATACAAATAAAATACTGCAAGACCTACCTATAACAATGAAAATACAAAAGACCCTTTACTCCTTTCTCCAAAATACACCTGATGACAAGGAAGAAGATTTTAGAAAATGGAACATAGAGTGGGCAGGGGAAATGTCTAGGGCAGTGGTAGGCAACCTTGGCTCTTTTATGACTCATGGACTTCAACTCCCAGAATTCCTGAGCCAGCATGGCTGGCTCAGGAATTCTGGGAGTTGAAGTCTACGAGTCATAAAAGAGCCAAGGTTGCCTACTTCTGGTCTAGGGAATGTGGATGGGCAGAGTCCCCCCCAAATACTCTACCTAAATTGCCTTTCTCATGCCAAGCAGCTTGCACAAAACCAGAAATTTTTTGGGGTGATTTAATTGCCTTGCCCTGGAAAGCTACTTGGCAAAGAAAGAAAGCGAGAGTTAGACTTAAAAAATAGAAGATTTGATCTATCAGAGGGGGCATTATCTGTTTAATATACCTGTTTGAATATGATTAAAAGAACGGATGAGCCTTAGATATAACTATAGAGTTTTATAATGGAAGATATGATTTAGAATTAAAATAGCATTTTCTTTTTCTTTTTTTGATATGGGAAATTTGAAAATAAGAGGATTGGTATGAATAATTTTTTTTAGCTGTATAAATGTAATTAATATTGAGAAAATCTTAACCGATAAAAATACTGTAAATATTGATGGGAAATCAAACTTTAATAAGAGCATGAAAAACAGGATATTGACTTATGAATTGATATTATTGTTATTTCTATAACATTAGTAAAATACGATGAAGATGTCTATATCTAATTTTGTATACATCAATAGTACTAAGAATTGTAATTGTTTAACAAGGGAAAAAGGGAAAAAATATGAGAAAGAAAGGAAGATCATGGAAAAAATACTGGAGTGTACAGTACCGAATAGATTTATATTGAAGAAGTTAATGTTAAATACGTAAACCCAGACAACATGTTGTTTACTAAGCTCTAAAGATTGTAAATTTTAAAAGTCAGTAAAACTTATATATATAAAAAATAAAAACTGTTTAAGAGGACGTGGGGATTTTGGCACTGGCTTTAACAAGTATTCATCCAAAGGAGCTAAGCTTATTTTTCATTTTAATTGATGGAAATAGGCACAATTGAACTGCATTATAAAAAACTTAAGCACACTGTGAATTCATCAATAAGGGAAAAAGGAGCAAACAGGAGGGGTTTGTCATGATAATGCCCCAAACAAGTAGTGTCTGGAGGTCACTTCAAGTATAACCTATTTCCAACAGAATGTTTTTGTATATAAATGTGTTGATGATCATTTCTTCAGACAATTTATTCAGTGCAAGCATGAGCAACTACTTTCTGAGTACTAAATTTCATCTGAATGCTTAATCGTTTTAAAAATAGAATATAGAATATTCTTTACTGGCCATGTGTGATTGGACACACACGGAATTTGTCTCTGGTGCATAAGCTCTCATACAAACAATGTTTGTATATACAAACAATGTTTGTACATACAAACAATGAAGTAATATACAGTAATCATAAGATACCAATAGTAGATGATAATAGGAAAGGTGAGAAGGAAATCCCTTTGTTTTTGCTTATAATGTAGACTTACTAAAATGCAAATATTCTTTGATTGTTGTGGAAGACTGTTGAACAACTCAAATGTTCTCTGAATCTTTTTTCCCCCCATCACATTCAAACTGACACTCTTGGCTGTTTTAGTATAATAGCAAAACTTTCCCCACTCCATAGCACATTTTAAAAAGGCATTTGCGCCATCAAGAAGTTAGAAATCAGAGCAGTAAATCTTTTGACATCTAACCTAGGCAATGAAGAGAACAAAAAGTGGGGAGAAGAGAAAAAAGCAAAGGAAATTAAAAATATGTATGGCTGAAACTTTGTTTTCTTGTCTGTGCAAAGATAACAGCTTAGCCATTATTTTAGCTTGTTGTGAGAATATCTAAATGAAGGGAACCAAAATTCTTGGCAGACATCAAAACCATCCTGTAATTACTTTTTATCATTTTAGGAATGTGGGAAGCAGATGGGCTTTGGAACAAGCCAAATACAACTTGATTAATGAATATTTCCTAGTGGGAGTTACTGAAGAGCTTGAAGACTTCATTATGTTGCTGGAGGCAGCTTTGCCTCGCTTCTTCAGGGGTGCTACAGAATTATATCGAACAGGTATTTCATCACCCCTCAACTACATCATGTCTCTCTGTGTGTATGCATTTCTTTTTAGGAGAAAGCACAGCGTCTTTCCCGAGATTTTTCATTATTTCGTTCCTGAAAGAATTACAAGCGATGTATTATGGCTATTAAAACTGAAAATGTGTTTCAAGCATAGACTACACATACACACACACACAAACACTTTGCACTTTGCAAATTCTGCGGAATTGATTGACTGGGGTGTGATTCAGCAAAATTGAAGACTACGACATTTTGATTGATTGGGGTTTTGGCCGAAAAACAAAATCTGCAGATCTATTAAAGGCTGAGTAGGGCATGGTTTATGTTCCTCTCTGCTCTTCCACTACATACCTAAGCCAGGCAACTTGGCCAGCAGCTGAGGCTTGAGGGGCCGGATCTAACCTGCCACCCCAAATCATCCAGCCAGTAGTCTCCAAAAGAAATATAATAATACATATAATTTATCTTTTACTAGTTGCTGAAAACTAAATAAAACATAAATGGCTTTTCTATATCCATCTAGGTTCGGTAGACCTAACCTTTTCATCACCATTTGAAGAGGTCTAACAAGTTTTCAGGGGCTATCAGTGTATTACTGAAAAAAAGTAAAGCTTCGTACCTGGCATTAGGAAATAGGAAATGGACCAAATCACCTTTAGACTGTATTTCTAAATAGCAAATATACTCCTTTAAGTGTCCAGTTATATGTAGCAGGGCTGTGCAGCGCTTCAGAGTGAAAGGGGAAAAGATACTTCAAAGCATGCATGTATTTAAAATTTGAAATTTGAAACGCCCTGTGTCAAGCTGAAAACAGTTGTTTTCTATTGGATATGGACTGTTTTTTAAAAAGTTTTTATTGGTTTTTTAATACAATTCAAAAGTACTTATTCAACAAACATGTTGTCTGAGTTTATCATTCACTAATACAAATTGAATTCCTAATCCCTTATTCTTTTCTCCAGCCATTGCTAAAATAAGTCCCAAGTTTGAAAATATTCTGTTCTTTTTCTTTCAACCTCAGAGTAAGTCTGTCCACAATCTAGAATTTTTTAAATTATTTCTTCCTCTGATGATATTTCTTCATGGAAATGAACTGTTTTAATCCTGTTGGAAATGTCTCAAGTATAACACTCCAGAAATGATCAAAATGGCCTGTTCCCAGTAGAGCACAATTGTTTGGAATTTAAACATTTTTCACACCATTTGATAGGAGCCATATTTACTATTTTCTTTAAGTTCATTGTAGTTTATAGCCTGACTTTGATTATTATTTCATAATTATGGCTAGAGAGTAGAATATAAGGAGCTATTTTTGATAGAATGTAATATAATATATAGTATAGCTTGTATAGTATGTTAAATGCATATAAGTCTTGTGGGATATACTTAACATAAATGACTTTGTCCTCTTGCCTTTAAAAAGATATTTTAAGATAAAACATTTATATTATGAGAAATGTCACCCAAACACAAATTGCTTTGGGTTTTTTATTAATTTTGTTAATTTTTATTAATTTTGCTGAATTTCTAAATATTAATCATGATTGAAATAGATAAATGAATGTGATAAGGAGAAATGCACTTCTCTGCAGTTACTCCCTCTTTATAATTAAGCCCTTTAGCAGTGACAAGAATGCAACTTTTTTGTTTTTTCCCTCAAAGTTGTTGCTCACTTCTCAAAACTTAATAAATCTTGGTCAAAATTTTGTCACTTTATATCCATTTAGAAATCTGCAGACCAAAACAACAGCAATACTACGCAAGCTTGCATAAATGTATGGTCCATGAGAATATTTACGTTATGACCCAATGAAATTGTGACTTGTGACTTTTTTTTTTTTAAGGTAAAAAGTCTCACCTTAGGAAAACAACGGAGAAGAAGCTCCCCTCAAAAGAAACCATTGCAAAGCTCCAGCAGTCTGAAATCTGGAAAATGGAGAACGAGTTCTATGAATTTGCCCTTGAGCAATTTCAGTTTGTCAGAGCCCACGCGGTTCGAGAAAAAGACGGAGAGCTATACATTCTGGCACAAAACTTTTTTTATGAAAAGATCTACCCCAAATCAAACTAAAGACGATGCATATTTTTAGGTGAAGAAAGCAAACCTTGTGATCACATCCTTGTTCTCGGCGCCAATTTGTAGATGATTGATAAATCCACTCAAGTGCTTTGATCTTGAGCTCGGTAGAGTGCACTGCGTGTCGCTGGAGGAAGACAGCTGAAGACTAGAGACCTTGATCATCTCTAAGTTTTAAGCTTTGGTTTCTTTAATATTCTGAAAGAAGGTTATTACGTAGACCTTGCACAAAGGTTTACAGAAATTAAGCACATACCAGTTGTAGCTGAAGCTTAGGTGAAAGACTTCCTTTTATTGTCTTCTCGATTCATAGGGCAGTTTCTTTTACTTAATGCAGTGCAGTTCAAGATGGAGATTTGGGTTGTATACACTTACGAATAATATAAATAACTGGCTGACATTTGTGCTTTGTTCTTGTGAATTCATATCACATGACATTCGTTGGAATGTTCACCTCCTAAGAAGTGACGCAGCTGGACGTTCCCGAATTTATAAATAATGGATTTTCATTTTAAGAAGTTAGAACTGGTCATCAGTGTGGTTTTTTTTTTTTTAAAAAAAATCAAAATTCTATAGTAATATTGTAAAAAGGCTGAAAATCACTCAGTGTTTCTTTAATATCTTTTGAACCTCCATCTTACATTGGAAAAACTGTTAAGTTAGGTTTTGCCTACACTTCAATGTAAAACGGATAATGGATTCTGTATCAATGTTCCATGAATTCTTTGTATTTTTAACAACTACTGGCAAATCCATATTCTGACTCAAATAGTGAGCCTGTGGTATGGTTAGGGTTTTCCTATTTAGATACTTTTACCAGTAGAATATTTTTACTAAGGTCCTTTACAATGTGTTTTAAAGTATTGCATTTGCAAAAGGAGAAAACAGCTGTAAATAATGCGTATTTTATGTATTTGGACCAAAAGGTTAGAAGTAAATTGTTTAAAGTGTCTTTGCACCAATTTTGTTGGATGAAAAGTAAAAACAACCCGATTTGCTTTTCCAATCCCCACTTAGAATTGACAGTTGGACATCACTGAAACATACTTCAGTGATCTCAACAAATTTAAATATACAGTGTGTCTGCCCAGGATCTCTTTTTTCAGAAAAAACAACTTAATCTTCATCTTTTTATCATGACTAAAAGAAAACAAGCATGTGGCCTGGCCAAGAGAGATATGAAGAAATTGATGTCAGTGTATTCATTGAACGGCCTTACATTACTTAGTAAAATTGCATTTGCTGCAGTTAGCACCTTACAACATAAATAAGATTCTTTAGCAATTAACATTCTGAAATGCTATATTTTAAACAAAAATCAAGAACATTTGCAGTTCTTAAAATTCCCTGTTGGTGCACAATTCTTGATTTTTTAAAAAAAAAAATAGCATTAAGGTTTGAAGATTTTTAAAAAGTTAAAAAAATAGCTTTTGAATTTCACATTCAGTAGAGTGCTAGAAGTGTAGCTGTATCAAGAGGAAAGTGTCTCTATAGACAAAACAGGTTCTATCTATAATTGAATGTTTTAATGCCAAAAACATGATACTGTTATAATAAGGTAATGAGACTGTTAAGTAAAGCTTTTACCTTTATGTATATTTTACTTTGACTACTTCTTAGAGAGATTTTAAAATGGCACTGCTTTCCTATGCTGTGCACTTTTGTTCAGTTGACAGATACTGATTACGTTACTTCCCTATATTACCATAAGCCTGACTGTTTTATGGCCATTTAAGTCCAGCTGAATGAGTTATGGGAAAATGTAGTAATTCTTGCTATACTATTTAAAATATATTAAAACTTATGAACCTTAAGTGTGGATGTTGACAGCCCAACAAAAATATTGATTGTCCAGGCTAATGGTTATATAGTTTGCCTGTTTTCCATTCTTGTGTGCTGGGAAGAGAATTTAAGGTTCTGCTTCAAAACAAGGAGTTGTGTAACATAATCTGAGCTAGTGTCACCATGAAGATATAAATGTGACTGTGCAAATTATTTCCAAAAATCAGTATGGATCATCCTCCTTAACATGGTACCGATTACATGGGATATCAGTCCTTGCAGATTCTCCACTATGTGGATGTGTGTTAAAGGAAAGAGTGTTTATCTGCTAATTAGACATGAACTACTTTGCCTCTAGATGTATCTTCATTAGTTCAGGTGCATTTTAGGCTGCAATGATATCTACAGTTACCTGGGATTAAGCCCTGTTTAACACATTGGGACCCATTCGTGAATAAATGCATATGGTTATGCTGGCAATATTGTAAAACATACATCAAGTGGGTAAAAAGAATAGAAAGGCCCCCTTTTTAATTTCCTAAATGCTCATTTTGAAAGCAAGCTGTAGCAGCTATATACATTTTAGTTTAGTTACCTTAAATCATAATGAATTATATTTGGCTTCATGAGATATCATCAGATACCACTCCATTTAGGGAAAACAATATTCCTCATGGCTATTTAATCCCAGAAACTATATGAAAAGTTGCTGCAATATTAAGATATTGGCAGAACATTTAAAAATGTATGATTGCATTTAAAATGAAACACAATATTTTGAGACCCACAACACTGCTATTGCATTTTACACTTAAAACATCTGTATTTTATTCCCTAAAATTCTTTGCATGATGTGGTTGTAAATTACTTTTAAAGAAATAACTGAATAAAGCTCTTAATGCTTATAAAGTAAAATACAGGCTTCTAAACATTTAACATAAACTTACAACTTACAAAAATTAATTGAAGCAGGACATAGCTTACGCATTTCAACAGTACTGAAAGTTTTATTAATGAATTATTTATCTTCCTAGAGAAGGCTGTTTAACTAAGATTTTACTTCACAAGTAAAAGCATAGTTTAAAAGGCTAATTTCTGTTTGAATCTTAGCTGTCAAAGAGAGGGTAGTCAGAGCTTTGATCTTTAAAGAACTAAATTATCTCTTGTTAATAGTTAACATTCTCTGATTTTTGCTACAATAATTGACTTACTTGTTCCCTAAATACTTTTCTTCTAATCACTTGTTCTTTCTGGATATTCCATTTAGAATTCATGGAAAGTTTAGCTGAGCTTTTTGTGGGGGAAGAGGTGAAATATATAACAAGGACAAATAAAAGACTTTTAAGGGGGGGAGATAGAGCAGTATTGTTCAGTGTGGCTGAGGTCTCATTTTTAATCTTAAACTTGAAAATAGTTGTAAACATGGGCATACAGGAACAAAAGGCTGTGTCAAACTCAGGCTTGATTTGAAATGTCTTACTGGAATGACTAGAACAGTGATGGCGAACCTTTTAGAGACCAAGTGCTCAAACTGCAACCAAAAACCCACTTATGCATCGTCGGGTGCCGGGTGGGTGTGGCCCATTGGCTGGGTGTAGCCCATTGGGTAGGCGTGGCTGTGGTGGTAACAGCAGACTGGATGGGACTAAAAAGTTCCAATCAATCAATTCCAACTTTGCAAGATTTTTTTTCCCGTGAGAAGTTGAAATTGACTGATTGATTGAACCTTTTTTTTTTTGCACACGGCTGCAGAGGCCTAAAGCGAAAAGGTTTTATAAAATCCAGCTGAAGGCCTAGGACTGGGGCGATGGCGCGCGTGCCCACAGAGAAGGCTCTGAGTGCCCACAGAGAAGGCTCTGGCACCCGTGCCATAGGTTCGCCACCACTGGACTAGAGGATTATAAACTTATTCAAGAATTTTAAAAATATAAAAATATGGAAGATCTACAGGGATATGCTTTCAGCTAAATTCTACATGACAGTATCCATGTGGACAAAGTTTTTCTTCAAATCTTCCCCATCAAGATCAGGAAATCAAGAGTAGAAGAAGCGTATGGATTGGCATCTTCAGATTGTATTGATGACCCATCACCCAATAGGACTTACACTATAATGTGATCTAGTATACTTCTAAGGCAGGGGTGTCAAACTGCCAGCCCGTGGGCTGGTTGCATCATGCGGAGGCCGCGCCCACCCCAGATCTGGCAATGCAAAAAAAGTCGTGATACGTCGTGACACGTCACGCGACGGGTTTGACACCTGTATTCTAAGGTGTTCTAGCAAAGACTGCTAATGGTAGAATGGCCTTTGTTATTAAAAATAAACATTCTTTTCTCACTGTTCCCTGGGAAACCACAGAAAGACTTGTAAAAGTGAGAAAGTGTTTTGGTCCTATGATTTTTAAGTATCTTGAAATAATTACAAATATAATATCTAGATGTTCCTCCTTTGCAGCACATACAGTGGATATAAAAAGTCTACACACCTGTTAAAATGCCAGTTTTTTGAGATGTAAATAAAATCAGACCAAGATAAATCACTTCAGAATTTTTTTCCATCTTTTAACGTACAGTATAAGCTGTACAATTCAATTGAAAAACAAACTAAAATCTTTTAGGGGGGAAAATAAACATAATAGCAGGGTTGTTTAAGTCTGCACACTCTTAAAACAAATACTTCGTTGAAGCACCTTTGGATTTTATAACAACAATCACTCTTTTGGGGTTGGAGCCAGTCGGTAAGGCCCATCTTGCCTTGGAAGTCTTTGCCCACTCTTCCTTGCACAAGCGCTTCAAATCTGTCAGATTGCAAAGGCATCACTTTTGCCCAGCCCTTTTAAGGTCAAATTGAGGGATATTTGGAACTGCTCATGATTCCTTCCACCTTGACTAAAGCCCCAGTTCCAGCTAAAAAAAAAAAGCAGCCCCAAAGCATAATGCTTCCAGCACGATGTTTCACTGTGGATATGGTGTACTTTTGGTGAGGCACAGTGTTGTTTTTACACCAAACACTCTTTGAAATTATGGCCAAAAATTCAACCTTAATCTCATCAGACCATAACACATTTTCCTACATGCTTTTTGCCAGACTTGGGGTACTGTAGTAGCTTTTGCAAAATGTAGCTGGCCTTGGATGAATTCCTTTAAAAAAAAAAAAGGCTTCCTTCTTGTCACCCTATCCCACAGGCCAGATTGTTGTCACATGTAATACAATGAGATCTTTTTGATGCTTTGTAACTCTTTGCAGACACAGTTTTTTGCTATAGGAGGCAACTGAGTACATGTCAGACAAATCCTACAACAGCTGAACTTCATATGAGCTTGATCAGAATCACTTTAAATTGATGGCAAGTGTGTACTGACTGCTATTTAACGTCAATATGAATGAGATTGGTTAATTCTGAACACAGCCACAGCCACAGAGTGTGTGCATGGTGAAGCAGCCATCTTATTGTGCATTTTGTATTTTTATTTTTTTCCTCCTAAAGGATTTACCGGTAAGTTTGTTTTTCAACTGAATCATACAGCTCATATGTTATATTAAAGGCGGACAAAATTCTGAGGTGATTTATCTTGGTCTGATTTTTTTATAACTCAAAACCCTGGCATTTTAAGAGGTATGTAGACATATAACTGTAGATGTTTGTATTCCAGGCAAACTCTGAGCAATGGCTGTGATTACATGTAGAATTGACACAATAACCATTGTCTGGTATCCTTCAGGAGCAAATCATGGTTAGTGGGGGGGGGGGTCTTTTTTCATCCTAATAATTTCTGGGCATAATTCTAAACAGTGATTTTGAAGAGTAAAACAGCCAACACAAACTGCATCTTTTGTTACCTCTGAATTAATATCACATAATAGATTGTCTAGCCACCTGTAACCATGGTTTGTAGTTGATTACATGCTATGGAACTGAATGAGGGATTGTGACAAGCATAGTTTCATGTTACATCTAAATTGTATTAGGGTCTGTGAGCTCTGCAGTCTTTCAATTATTGGGTCTCCTGAAAAAACTCTTTGTTGTTAGGAGTCCTCCATGGTGATATTCTATAAAGAAGATAACTGAATAATCTTCTCCTCTCCTAACTGTGAGTAGAAGCATTTTTCCTTCATACTGAGCATGTGGGCTCAAGATGCACCTTACCTGTTGTTTCTCTTGATCAAAACTACAAATGTACTTTTTCTGAAACATTAATTTTTTTTTTAAATTTAAAAATAAAATGGTGGTGATGGCATAGAGAAACTACCAAAACAAAACTGATTATCAAAGACTGTCAAATAGTAGCTAAACAGAGATTTATATTTCAGACTAATAATACTCAATACGAAACTGTTACAATTGACTTTCATTTCTATATTTCAGCAATGGATAACTTTTTTCATCAGGTTTTTTTAAAGATTGTAAATGTCAAATTAAATTTATATTAAATATTGAGTAACATATTCCTTAAAGGTGCAGCTCATAGTACAGATAATTATTAGTCTTGAAGATAAAATTCCTTAAAATACTTTAATGCATGTATTTAAAGAATTTGAATAGTAGGACCGCTTGAATGAAGTTGTAAGAATTGCTTTATAAATCTTTAGACTATGGGGGGGTGGGTAATGATATTCTGATTATTTATATATTTTGTAAATCCAAATATATGAAATATGTATGTTGTAATGTTTATAGTAGTATTCCCCAAATCCAGTGAATTATTACACAAAAGCACCATGCCTGCTAGAGATGGAATCAGATGAGGGGGGTGTGTGTGCAGTTGTTATGCACATGAATTGCTGCCCTGAAACAAATGAGAAACTTAC